CCAGCCCCCTGAATGCAGGGACTGTCCACACGAAGATGTGGACAAGAATGCTCACTGCAGATTTACTCAAAATAGCTCCAATCTGAGAACATCCAAGAGGTCCTTCACCAAGGGAATGAATACACAAACTGGGGTGGACTCATTCAGTGGAAAACTACCCAGCAATAAGGGAGAACGAGCCACGGATTCATGAATCAGCACACGCAATGACACAGAGAAAGCTCTTGAATATTATGCTGAACAGAAGAACTCAAACAAAGAAGAGTACATTCCACGTGATTCCACTCACAGGAAGGTTTCAAAAGGCAAATCCAGGGCGCCTGGGTGGCTCAGTGGGTTAAGCCGCTGCTTTCGGCTCGAGTCATGATCTCAGGGTCCTGGGATCAAGTCCCGCATCGGGTTCTCTGCTCGGCAGAGATCCTGCTTCCCTCTCTCTCTCTTCTGCCTGCCTGTCCATCTACTTGTGATCTCTCTCTGTCAAATAAATAAATAAAATCTTTAAAAAAAAAAAAAGGCAAATCCAGTATCAGAAATCACAGCGTGCCAAGGGCCAGGAGGAAATCTGGGCGATGGAGATATTCTCCAGAAGCTAAACCTTTCCAACATAAATGCCATGAACTAGCTCTCACCAGTTTCCACAACACAGGATGAAAACACCAGCCACAAAGTCCTACAGACATTCACAGACTGGGAAGAAGAGGAAAGGCATCCTGGGGCCCAGGCCAGGCTCTGCTGAGTGGCCCGAGACATCACCTAAAGTCTGAGTCTCAGCTTCTCGACCACAAACCACCACCGATTAAGGTCTTTCTGCTAATCAGAGCTACTGAGAACATAAACGCGATAACATATGAACTATTTTGTAAAATATTTAGCCATCCTCTTTGGACTAGGCAGCTGGCCTTGTTTATTTTCCCATCTTTATCGCGCCCTCAAATATTTGTATTCTATTAATGTGTTATTTTTTTTATTACTCATACTTTCTACCAAGAGTCAATTATCAACAAAGAAGTCTCTATGCTTTCAACTAATTTTATCGTAATTACAACAATGGCTAATATGTTTTCAAAAGTGATATGGTAAGGTCTTACGTGTATTAATTTATTTAATCCTCATACTAATTATGATAAAATTGGGGCAAAACATTCGGACAACTCGCCCAAGCCTGCATGGCTAGCACCTGCAGAGACCGGGCACCTGAGCCCTGGCAACTGATTTAGGAACCCACTGTTCCATGCACAACTGCCTGGGTTTTGGCAGACACTCAAATTTTTATACTTTGTTTCTGAGAAAATTTGCTTCTTCTTGTCCAAATAACCAACTTCTGAGCATTAAATCAAGTGACATGGACTTCACTAAGAACTCCGAGAATGTTTCCAGTTTTATGCATTTATGCGACTGGCAAAAATATCAGAAACTACCCACTTCTTTTCCAGCTTCGCATACACTACATAAAGCAAAAAATTCACTGCAGTTTCCATCACTTAGTCAACAGAAATTTGGAAAGTTTCCGTGAGTGGTCTCAACATTTACTCTTTGGGCTGTGCCTGCATCTTTGGAGCTGGATTACAAACCCCCATAGTAAAACAGGCATTCACCTGAAGCCACCAGAACTTGGGTTCATCTGTCTACAGAATTACTTCATTTGTATTCAGTTAACCCTGAGAACTACATCTGACAGGGTATCTACATAATAACAAGTAATAAATGGTCATGTTGATGAAACAGAAGGATAATGTGCGTCCCAAGAGACCTGAATGAAAATCGAGCCCAAAGTTGGCCTGTTAGGTAAAGTAACTTCCCCCAGGAGCTGGGCCCAGGGCATGGAGGGCTATCCACTCACACTGGTCTCTTGGCCCCGGGTCCCGAAGCCCCACTGATCTCCCCATGTAGACGGGCTCTCAAGGCATGCATACTAGGCATGCCCACATTCCCAAACTTCAAGTTCTTAGAAGCCGGGGATCGCATCTCCTGTACCTTCCACCTTCAAGACTCAAGGATTTGCTGCATGGAATTTAACTCTGGAGTCCAAGTGAGCACTCATTTCTCAGAGTTAAGTTAATTCAAATAAATTACTTCACGGGAAAATATTGATGATAAATTTCACCATAACTGGTTTAAGAACCTGCCTGGAGCTTTCCCTCTGAAATAAAGCCAGACTCTAATCTCTTCCAGTCCCTCTGGTGCCCACCCGTCCTCTGCACCCTGTTCCAGCTATCCTCAGCTCTCACCTTCATGACCACAGCAACCTCCAACCTGCTCTCTGCACTCAAGCCCACACAACCCGCATTCAACATGGTGGCATGGTTATTCTGTGACAAGTCAGACCATGCCACTTCTCTGCTCAAAACCCTCCGATCACTGAGTCTCACAGCTTCCCATTTCCAGTCCTTACAGTGGCCACTGACAAGCCCTACCTGATGGGACCCCACACTCTCATCTCTTCCGCTGGCCCCCTCACTGGCCCCACTCCGGCCGCAGTGGCCTCCTTGCTGTTCGTGGGCTCCCACTGCCTGGCCCGCATCCACTGTCCTCTGCCTAGACATGCACGCCTGGGGAATCCAGTGGCTCAACCCTGCACTGGCTTCTGACCTCTGCTCAGAGCTCACCTCGTCGGCAAGGCCTCCCCTGGTCCTTCCCCACCCTGCACTCCCCATCATCCAGACCCGCTTTTCCTCTGTGGCATGTGTCATCGCATTCAGTACCACACGCTCTCGGGCTTACTTGCTCCCTGTCTGCACTAACACATAAACGTGAGAAGGCAGGTGGCCCGAAGGCTTAGAATAGTGCTTGGTACACAGTAGGTACTTAATAAAGAGCTGTTCTGCTAACAGAAAACAGATAAACACAACTGACCCTGATTTTATAATTTCCGAAACCCAGCAAAGGGAACAAAGAATTCAAAAGAGCACTCTTCCTACTTTTTTTTTTTTTTTAAAGATTTTATTTATTTGACAGACAGAGATCACAATTAGGCAGAGAGAGAGAAGGAGGAAGCAGGCTCCCTGCTGAGCAGAGAGCCCGATGCGGGGCTCGATCCCAGGACGCTGGGATCATGACCTGAGCCGAAGGCAGAGGCTTTAACCCACTGAGCCACCCAGGTGCCCCAACTCTTCCTACTTTTGAATATGCTTGTAAAACCCCTTTATAGTAAGGTAAAAGAAAAATAATACAGTTCAAGGAAGCACACAGCCTCTGCTATGCGACTACAGCCAGGAGACAGGATCCAGAGAACAATGACAATAATGAAGAGGAAACCAAGACAAGTCGACTCTCCTCTCTGGAGTGAGGAAAAGGGCCCACGAGAGAGCGAGCCCAGCACCAAACACGGGCGAAATTCTGCCCGCCTCACCCAGTAGAGCTGGAAGCGCGGTGTGACTGTCTTTATCAACGTTCCGCACACATGTGTGTATGTTAAAGGGTGAGATTTGTGCTGGGGAGTTTGCCACAAACCCAGCAGCGCCTGTCCCTTCCCCGTTACCCACCTGCACTGGGTTGGCCAAACCTTGCAGGCTCCCCATTGCCTCTGAAGAGCAGGGGACTGGCTTTAGGCCAGTGCCTCCCGCACCGCCCTGGCGGGGGCGGGGGGAGGGGACAACAGCAGGTGGAAATGCCTCCACCCACCCCGCGCCCTTCACACACCCACGGCCCACTCACCCTACACCATCTCCAGACAGGCACAATATGTTTCAATTAGAACAATATTCGGTGTTTACATAAACAATCACTGCGCAAAGGCTGTTCACAGCCTCGCCTCGCCATACACCATAATTATTTCTCTCTTCCTGCACAACAGTCTATTTTCCCTGGAACTAATGACAGTCTTGTGCTCTCATTTGCTTTGTGTTCCATGGACTCATCACTAATCCAGCCCAGCCCCGCCAGCTGTCCACATCTCCTCTCCAGATGTCCCAGTGCCCGGGTGCCATGTCAAGTTCACCTTCCCCAAGAACTCTCTCCTGGGGAGTCAGCTCCGGACAGGTGTGCACGCTGGCCTCCCCACCTCCTCTCAGGAAAACCCCGTCTCCTCTGGCTCTGTCCTTCCAGACTCACCACCTCACTGTCTATCAGTTGATTCCTTAAAGTACGTGAGACAGGAACTTTTGGGGCATGTCTGAAAATACCTTTATTCTACCCTCTTTTGCCTGAGTATAGAGTTCGAGGTGGAAGGTATTTTTTTTTTAATATTTTTTTATTTATTTATTTGACAGAGATCACAAGTAGGCAGAGAGGCAGAGAGAGAGAGAGAGAGAGAGAGAGAGAGAGAGAGGGAGAGAGAGAGGGAAGCAGGCTCTTGGCTGAGCAGAGAGCCCGATGCGGGACTCAATCCCAGGACCCTGAGATCATGACCTGAGCCGAAGGCAGCGGCTTAACCCACTGAGCCACCCAGGCGCCCTGGAAGGTATTTTCCTTCAGAATTCTGAAAGCCATGCTCTCTTGCTTTCCACCTTCCTGTTGCTGTAGACAAGTCCCCACAGTGTTCTGCACCATTCTGTGATGACCTGCTGGTGGCCTGTTCTTATTCTTTTTCTAGAAGCTACTACAATCAGGGGTGCCTCGGTGGCTCAGTGGGTTAAGCCTCTGCCTTCGGCTCAAGTCATGATCTCAGGGTCCTAGAATCGAGCCCTGCATCGGCTCTGCTCGGCGGGGAGCCTGCTTATCCCCCCCCCCTCCGCCTAGCCTCTCTGCTTACTTGTGATCTCTCTGTCAAATAAATAAATAAAATCTTTAGAAGCTACCACAATCTTCCTCCTCCCAGAGTTCTGAGATTTCACAGCAACGGGCCTTGGAGTGGGTGTGCACATCTCTCTCTCCATCTGCACTCTCACTACCTGAATTCTGAAACTGATGGCCTCGAAAGCATTTCCAGATAAATCCCTTGTTTCTCAAACTCTCACTCGTTACTGTGGAAACGCGGCATCCCTCACTGTGCAAACCTGCTCCCCACCCTGCAAGGACCCATACCGGGAACTGAACAGATGGGGAGAGCAAAGGACACCTGCCTTTTCACACACAGTGCTGGCCACGGAGGGAACCCCCTTCCTCACGAAGTTTTGGTTCTAGGAAATTCTCTTGCATTATTTTGTGGACGGCCTTGTCCTATTTTCTCTCTTCTTACTGAAACAGATCATTCAGATGTCAGCCTCCTGCTCTGATCCTTCCCTTTTCTCTCTCACTTCCCATTTTTGCTTTTAGGTCTGTCTTCCCCAGCTCCTCAACTGTATCTTTCACCCACCAACTGGGCTTTTTATTTCTCCAACTGTGTTTTTTTATATCCAAGAGTTCTCTTTTTGGTTCTTCAAGTGTTCCCCCCACTTTCTTTTCTTTTTCTTACTAGAGTGGCCTGCTCTTGTCTCTTGCATACAGTAGTTCCCCTTCTCTGTGTGTGCATGTTAGGGATAGCCCGCTTGTTCAGTCCTCCTCCTGCACACCCTCCACCGCCTGCAAGCGTGAGCTAGGGTCTCTACCTTCCAAATGAGAGGTGTCTTCACATGTACTTGGTTATCTGTTCCTATTTAAGAGGTAGGGTGCCAAAAGAACTTGGAAGCTTTGAACCATGGTGCGGTTCCACCTGAGCCTCCTTACCCGGGGGGGCCCCTGGTGTCACTATTTTTAGGTCCTTTCTTTTGAGCTACTCACACTCCCCAAAGACTTTTTCACTCTCCTGCCTGAAGAGGCAAGTGCCAGCTGGTGGTGTTCCAGGAGCCATCAACTCTACTCACTGCATCCCGCCCCTCTCCCCCTACCCAGCTATGCCTGGCATTTCCCATACCTCTCTGCAATATTTGTCAAGTTCTGTAAGCAGTTACAGAAACCACCACCTGGGTTAACTGCAGGAAGGACGGAGTTGCTGTGTCAGCTATCATGAGGCCCATGTATGCGCGAGTGGCTGAAGAAGCAGCAGCCCTTGGCCACAGCCACGGACACACTAAGGAGGTGTGAAACCAACAGCTAGCTTCTGGAGGGAGAGAGACAAACAAAATCGAAAATAAGATATAAGTTGTGGGTATTTTTTTTGGTTGTTGTTTTTTTTTAATGGTACACTAGCTGCATCTGCTTCAGCAGTATCAATAACCGGTCTCTCCTCCACAAGCACACCTTAGCCTCAGGACCTTTCTAGAAGGCAATCACCTCCCAGCTGTGGTGATACGCAGTGATGGCCATGAAGTGCAGGCCCAGTGTTGGCCGTCAGACGCACTTCTCTTCCAGCACCTATCCCTTCCTCGCTGGTATTCCCCAGGCTTCTGCCCCAGAAACTCATCCATGAGAGGGTGTCTCATCCAGGAGGCCCACAAACACTATGAACCCTGCAAGCCTACAAGCTTACAACCCAAATGCCCCTCCACATCAGCTCCAGCACTTCCCATCACAGGCAGCAGCTCTGTCCTTCGAGCAGCCAAGTGAGAAACCTTGGTTACTCTAGCATTTTTCCTTTCCCTTTCACCACACCCTAGAGAGCACCACACGCTGTGGGTTCTCCTGCTTGCTCGAATCTGATGACCCTCTCCACTCTTTTGGCCTCCATCCCGAAGCCATTCCCTCTACAACAGCACCCAACTCAGGCTCCAGCTCCCCACACTGTGAACCCACGTTTCCTGTTACCCAGCCCTACTTTTCTGAAACACAGACCTATCACATCCCACCCAAAATCCTGACCACCCCCTCACTGAAGATCAGGATAACAGCCCAAAGTCTAGAACAGCATTCAAGGCCCTTCGGAAAAGAAACCTCTTTTTGGCCTTAGCTTCCACCCCAATCCTCAAACCCCCTTTCTCAATGAATCCAGGGACTTGCCGCCCTGCCCCCCCCAAACACCCCAATCCCTTCCATGTCTCCACATGCCCTGCTGCCTCCACCTGGAATGTTCTCTCCAACCTTCACTCGTCCTTCTAGGCCCCCACATCCATCCCACATCTGCACCACGGAAAACTCCAACACCAGGAAATAAACTTCACTCTTCCCCCTTTCTTCACACTTTGTACATAACTGCCTAGACGCACGGGTCACACCGTATCATAATCAGCCTAACTTTATCACCAGCAGCTAGCCCAACTGGCCATCCTGCAAAGGACCAGTGGCTTAGTGTTTGCAGGACGGATGAAGCGGGCTCACAGTCACAGCGAGCCAGATTGCAGGCCTGCAAATACCCAACCGAAGTCCCATCAGCTAATTTGCAAGAAAACCACCAAGCAATTCCATGCAGACGCGGTCCAAACGCCCAGGAGCCCGGCCTGTGCTAGGTGTGGGTACGCTCCCGGGGTGGGCAGATTGCAACAGCAAGTGTATCAAACCCGCCCTTTTAACACCTTCATCCTACACAATGTATGTAACTCCACCTCCATTTAAAACAAATGTCTTGACGTCCCTGTGCGCTCTCCTTCTCCCCCCACCCCCAGACCGAGGCCTGCACCCACACCCGGGGGGGGGGGGGGCAGCACCCCTCAAGGTGCTTCTGCCTGCCCGCGTTCAGCCGGGGCCTCCTGAGCTTGTCCGAGGGCAAGCACAGAGTAAATAATTTAATAAATCGCAGACACACAGTGTCTTGTGCTCCGCGCCAGCCGGACCTCGGCGTGCGCCAGTGGCTCGCCAGGGATGCCCCGCGGCCAGGACCCTGAGCGGGCGGTGGAGGTCCCTCTGTTAGTGGCCAGGGCACGGCTTCCTCGCGCGGGAGACGCAGCCCCGCTGTTTCTGAGCAGAGGGTCCCGGAGGGGTCCCCTTGCAGGCCTCGCGGCCCCGCAGCGGCGGCCTGGGGTCCCCCGGGACGGGGCCGCGCCTCGCAGGCCGGCGGGAGGTGGCCGCAGCCCCCCGGGAGCACGGCGGTGGGGGTGGAGGGGTGGGGGCGCCTGCTCAGCCCGGGGTCCCAGCGCAGGGTTCTCGGAGCACTGCGGCGTGGGGGCCCCGTTCGAAGCACCGCCGAGCTGGCGTCCACGCTCCCGCGGCGCCCCACAAGGGGACCGGGAGCGCGCCTGCGGGGCGCCCCACCCGCCGCCGCAGCCCTCCAGCGCCGGGCGCCCGGGGGCTCAGAGAGGGTGCGAGCCGGGCCAAGGTCACACAGCGGCCGGCGCGGGGGCTCGGCCCGAGGCCGCAGCGGACCTGCCCGCGGGCTGAGGGAGGGAGCCCGGACCCGCCCGCCGCCCCGCCGCCCCAACGGCCCGCCGTCCCGCGCCGCACGTCGCCCCGCACCCCCGCCTCGCGCGCCTTAGCTCACCTCACTTCACCTCGTCGTCGTCGTCTCGCAGCCACCGCCTCGCCGACCCTCCCGAGGCCGCCCCTCCTCTGCCGGCCCCGCCCCCGGCGCCCGGAGCCCCGCCTCCCGTTCCACATATCGCGAGAAGTCGCGGCCCACGGAAGGACCACGGAGACCGAGGCGCTCCCGCCCTCAATGCGCCTGCGCCCTCCGCACTCAGCGGTCCCTACCCCCAAACCGGTGCCATGTGGCGCCGTATTTACGACCCTCGATCGGCCCCGCCCCCCGGCTCCGGGAGCCCGCCCCCTTCCCCAGCAGCCAATCCGGTTCTGCAGACCACGGCGTTGGCTCCGCCTCCAGCGGGTCCGTGCGAGGCGGGTGCGGGACACTGCTTGGAGCCTGGCGCTGTCCCTCTGCGTTTACCGAGCGCTTGCTGTTCGCCCTGCTCGTTCGCGACCTCCGGACCGCTGGCAGAGGGGCCTGGGGCGGGTGACCGAACCTCTCCGAGATTGTCCCAGGTCCGTCCAGAGGGTGGTGCCTTCACCTTGCGGGCAGGTAGCAAAGCCCTAGGCCAAATGACCCTTGTTCTCACCGATGGGTTTTCTTCAGTGAGGGTAAAATACGCATGTGACAAAATTCACCACCTTAACCACCTTAACTTGTTTCATGCACATTCACATTTGTGCAGCCTTCTCCACCAGCCACCCACAGAACTTTTCCAATCCGTGATGGTTTCTGCGGTTCCTTGCAGAGAACAGCAGACTGCCTTCCGAGCGGATGCTCTGTCCTCACTCCTTGCCCGGCGGCCAGTCAGCACGGAGTCCCCACCAGTTGGATCCTGAGACACAGCAAGGCCCTGCCCTCCCGGAGTATCTCTTCTGGGGGGGTCGGGAGGGGAACCGCTAACAAACAAGCCCACCGACTGCTCCTTTCCATTGGATCATCCCCTCCACCTGAACCGTGGTCAGGCCTCTCCCAGCTTAAAAACAAAAACAAAACCAGTACCCTTTACCCCCTCCAGCTAGCACCTCAGCTAACACCTCAAAGCAGTGGGTCGCTCTCCACAGCCTCCAGTTTCCATAAGTCCTCTTCACTCCACTCTCTGGAGGGGAAGAGGTCCCCTCCAGCAGGCAGGCAGCACCAGCATGGGTGGGATGGCACAGGGCAGGTGCACATGGAGCAGATGCACAAGGGTGGGAGGACATGGGACGGGGTGGCCTGGGACAGGTGCACACAGGGCAGGATGGCATGGGGCAGGTGCACACAGGGCGGAATGACATGAGGCAGGATGGCATGGGGCAGGTGCACATGGGACAGGATGACACGGGGCAGGTGCACACGGAGTGGGATGGCATGGGGCAGGTGTGCACAAGATGGGGTGCCCTAGGACAGGTGCACACAGGGCAGGACGGCATGGGGCAGGTGCACACAGGGCGGGACAGTATGCGGCAGGTGCACAGGGAGAAGAGAAGGTAGTGGCTACATTCTAGGTCTTAAGTTGGTGGTAGGTGATGGGTAGGTTAAATATAAGATATTTATTTCACCTGTTTTGTTTTGTATGTGTCTTAGCTTGCTCAAGCTGTCATAACAAAATGCCACAGGCTAGGAGACTTCATCCCCAGAAACTGAATCCCTCTCAGTTCTGGAGGCTGGAAATCGGAGGGGCTGCTCCCTTCCGAGGCTGCAAGGGGCAATCTGTCCCAGGCCTCTCTCTTGGGCTTTTTGGCCATCTTCTCTGTGGCTCTTCACATTGCTTCCCTCTGTCTCTGTATCCACACTTCCTCTTTGGTAAGGGCACAGTCACAGTGGAAAAGGGCACACCCTAACGACCTCATT